GCAGCAGCAGCGGCGGCCACAGCCCCGTTCCTTTGTCTCAGAGGTGTTGTGCCAGGGGGTTGCTGTGGGGACGGTGTCACACTTCAGCTCTCATTTGAGCCACTCTGCATCCATGTGTGGACACACACGTTCTCAGGCATGAGTCCAAGCACTGCCACACAGGCGAGGCCAGGCCATCGGAGCAGGAGGCGTGTGTGGCCTGATAGCCTGGGGTCCACTGAACCGGTTGAGAGCGCTGAATAGCAATCATGGTTGAGCAGCTGCCACTTGCTGTCGTCAGCACTTTAGAGATGCGGGCATGGGGCACCTGCTTACTGATGAGGAAGTGTAGGTCAGAGAGAGGAAGTAGCCTGTCCACAGACACAACAGTGACAAGACTGTGATCTGAACCAAGCCTGGTGGCTTTCAAAAAGCTTGGACCCAGAGCTTTGTGAGTGACTTGCCGCGTCACTCGTAAGCTGGCTGAATAAGTGCCCAGCTTGGTAACCTTCCCCTCTGTGTGTGTCCAAATAGGGACAACACTTCATGGGATCGCTGTGAGGATACAGTGAGGGACAGAAACTGCCTCACGCAGGGCTCTGCGGGCGTGCACGCTCAGTGGCACGAGCGGCTTCCTACAGGACGGCTGAAGCCAGGCTCCCCCCAGCCCACGCTCCTGTCCTTGACAAAAGGAAAAACCTAGGAATGTCGAAAGCCCTGGCTCTGACGCGAGGGAGCTTCGGGTCTCCCAGAACACTAATTATCAGTTACATGAATCAATGGCCCCTGACAGGGCCACCCTTACTAACAGGGGACTTACAGCTGACTCAAAGGAGAGGAGAGGAACCCAAGATGTCAGCCAGAGGACCTGAAAGCCTGTCAGCAGGACACACACACACACACACACACACACACACACACACACACACACACACACACACACACACACACAATGACAGCCTCTCCTGCTGGCTCTCCAGCTTAGGCTCCGCTGGCAGACAGTGCTGCTGTAACAAAGTGATGCCTGTCACAGAAGCACCAGATGGTCACTGGCTGGCAGGGGGACAGGCAGGCCCGCCTAAGAAGAGGAGGGGCCCAACAACCCCCAGGGGCATCCTTAGGCTGCCAACCCTCAGCAGTCCTATCTACTTACTGACTGGCTAGCTTCGAGGCCCAGGCATGGGGAGTTTTGAGGGTCAGAATACCACTCCGGGGACTGGGTACCACCAGGGAAGTGAACACCCCAGGTTTACTCAAATCAGAATGAGGTCAAGCATGCTGGAAACAGGAATGTAGTGGGGGGAGGTGGCGTCACACAGTTGTGAGTTTAAACCTCGCCCCCACCCCCAGGTTGCTCACCTGAGCAGGTCAATTGTGTGCTCATATGTGAAATGGGGCTGTTAAGACATAGGATTTTAAAGTGTAGGGTTGGCCTGGTGGTGTGGCCTAGCGTAAAGTCCTTGCCTTGAACGCCCTGGGATCCCATATGGGCGCCGGTTCTAATCCCAGCAGCTCCACTTCCCATCCAGCTCCCTACTTGTGGCCTGGGAAAGCCGTTGAGCATCCTACACCTGTGTGGGAGACCCAGAAGAAGTTCCTGGATCCTAGCTTTGGATCGGCACCGGCCATTGCGCTCATTTGGGGAGTGAATCATTAGACGGAAGATCTTCCTCTCTGTCTTTCCTCCTCTCTGTATATCTGACTTTCCAATAAATAAATAAACCTTTTAAAAAAATAAAGTGTAGCGTTTTCTTCCAAATAATTTTTATTTTCTTGAAGAAGGAACCCCCCCCAAAAAAAAGTAAAAAAAAAAAAAGAAGGACCCCCCCCCCCCCCCCCCCAAACACACACACATCAACCCTGGGCGTTGTGACTTACTGATTAAGTTGCTGCCTGGGACACTGCAAGCCAATGCCACTTCCAGTCCTAGCTGCTCCAGTTCTAAATGCCTAGAAACCAGTGGATGACAGCCCAAGGGCTTGGGCCTCTGTCACCTAGGAGGCAGACACAGGCTCCTGGCTTTGGCCTGGCTCAGCACTGGCTATTACAGCCATTTGGGGAGTGAACCAGTAGATGATAAATCTCTCTCTTTCATGTATAAAACGTAGTTGTTAGTATCGCAGTGAAGTTGCTTCCATTCCATAAAGGTTGCTGGAGGGCCTGCTATGTGTGTGTGTGTGTGGAGCACAGAGCTCCATGTTGGGGCTCTCCGATCCCAGACAATAGCTCTGTTGTGTAGAACACACAGAGCCCCTGCGGAGAGTGCCGGATGCCCATCTTGGCACTGTGCCAACTTAGTTCTAGGAGCTGGGGAGAGCCCTTTTCCCTCTCTAGGCTTCAGTTGGCCTGGTCACTGGTTCCCAACCTTCCCGCCTTGGAAGTTGTTTTGGTATTTTTCCTTCTATGCAAACCTTCTTTTGGTCAAATCTCCCACACAACCTGCATCAAGCTGCTTTTTCCTTGGTGATGTCTCCCCTTCATCAGAGGTGAAGCAGGCCAGGGTGACTGCCACGATCCTGATGTCGTACTTGGAGCCCATCTGCTCAGCTGTGCTGAACTCGGGATATACTGTGTCACTGGCAGGCCCAGGGGAGACCTGAGCTGCGGGTTCTGTGTCCATGCTACGTCCCTGCAAATGACAGCGCTCTCTCCACTCCTCTCTCGAGGAATGGGAGCAGAGGGAGCAGGCACCGTGGCATCTGAGTGCTGGGAATTCCTGGGGGTTCTGTCATCAGCTGGGACCTGACAATGGCTGAGGGAGCATGAAAGGTAGGGGTATGCATGCAAGCAGCCCTGGCACCAACAACGTGCCTGCACGCACGTGCACACGCACACAGTCTAGATGCCAATAGGTCAGTAGCTTTTGGGGACAGTTTCTTCACCTTGGGCTCTTGCCTTGCACATGCCTGCAGGTGACCCTGTACGTGCTGCTTCAGGAAATGAGTGGAGCCACACAACAGAAGGCAGAGTTCAATTTTAGTTTCTGGATTCTCAAAGCCCAGCATCTGGGGAGAGATGGAAAGTTTCTAGGCAGATAAGAATTTAGTAAATGGGATCCAGCGTGGTAGCCTAGTGGCTAAAGTCCTTGCCCTGCATGCTCCAGGATCCCATACGGGTGCTGGTTCTAATCCTGGTGGCCCTGCTTCCCATTCAGTTCTCCCTGTTTGTGGCCTGGGAAAGAAGTCAAGGACAGCCCAAGGCTTTGGGACCCTGCATCTGTGTGGGAGACCTGGAAGAAGCTTCTGGCTCATGGCTTCAGAATGGCTCAGCTCCAGCTGTTGTGGACACTTGGGAGTAAATCATTGGACAGAAGATCTTCCTCTCTGTCTCTCATCCTCTCTGTATATCTGACTTTCCAATAAAAATAAGTCTTAAATTAAATAGAGCAAATGATGCCATGATCAGGGGAAATGTGGAAGGTTGTCACTGGGGGTATGGGTTCCTGAAAACAGAGATGCTTCTCCTTAGCGTTGTAAGTGCAGCAATCCGCCAGGTGCCATAGACTGAGAGATGGAGAAAGGTCGTTTTTTCTGGGTGGGGTACCAGAACCAAGAACCCCCTGGAGAAACCACAGTGTGCTGCATTTGGCTCAGTGAGGCTGAACTCACCTTAAGTTCCCAGAACTTCCCTGGGGCCTACCGTGGCCTGAGGAGAAATAATCATTTGGACACCTGAGAAGGGACAGGTCACACCCAGGGGCAGCTCTTGGCCAGAAGCATACTTGACAGCAAGTACTACGGGCTCATGTGAGAGATCTGGACAAGAGGCCATCCCAGGGGATGCAGGGGTGATCAGATGACCACCTAAGCACGATATCATAGGATTCAAACATGAAAGGGAAGATGGAGTAATTCTGTATGCTCTGTGGTAGTCCCTTCCACTCTGCTTCAGTATGGGTAAGAAATAAAGGGAATTCAAGCAGTAGGCATTTGTCCCAGAGTACCTGCCTAAATGGCTAATCTGCTCCCAATCCAGCTTCTTACTAATACACACCCTTGGGGGGCAGCAGGCTGAAGCACTGGCTCTCTCCTGCCTATATGAGAGACCCACAGGGTCTCTGATCAAAGATCTGTCTATGGAGGGTCCAGCGCCCTGGACTAGCGGCTAAAGTCCTTGCCTTGAACGCACCAGGATCCCATATGGGCGCTGGTTCTAACCCAGCAGCTCCACTTCCCATCCAGCACCCTGCTTGTGGCCTGGGAAAGCAGTTGAGGATGGCCCAAAGCTTTGGGACCCTGCACCCGTGTGGGAGACCTGGAGGAAGAGGTTCCTGGTTCCCAGCTTCAGATAGGCACAGCACCGGCCGTTGTAGTCACTTGGGAAGTGAATCATTGCATGGAAGATCTTCTCTGTCTCCTCCTCACTGTATATCTGACTTTATAATAAAAAATAAGTAAATCTTAAAAAAAAAAAAAATCTGTCTATGGAGCCAGCGCAGTGTCTCAACATACTAATCCTCTACCGGCAGTGCTATCACCACATATGGGTGCTGGTCCTAGTCCCAGCTGCTCCACTTCCCATGCAGCTCTCTGCTTGTAACCTGAGAAAGCAGCAGAGGAGGGCTCAAGGACTTGGGCCCCTGTACTCACTTGGGAGACCCAGGGGAGGATCCTGGCTCTTGGTTTCAGGTCAGCTTAGCTCTGACTGTTGAGGCCATTTGGGAAAGATCTCTCTTTGTCTCTTTTCTTTTGTCAGCAAATCTGCCTTTAAAAGGTCTTCTTCTTCTTTTTTTTTTTTAAGGATTTATTTGATTTTTGTGGGAAAGTCAGATATACAGAGAAGAGAGAGAGGAAGGAAATGTCTTTCTTCCAAACAAAATGAAAATAAAATATTAAACAAAATATTTATTTATTATTGGAAAGGCAGATTTACAGGGAGGAGAGAAAGACAGAAAAATCTGTCTACTAGTTCATTCCCCCAAGTGTCTATAATGGTTGGAGCTGAATTGATCCAAAGCCAAGAGTTTCTTCCAAGTCTCACATGTGAGTGCAGGGGCCTAAGACTTTGGGCCTAAGCCTCTCCTGCTTTCCTAGGCCACAAGTAGGGAGCTGGATGGAAGTGGAGCAGACAGGACTCAAACTGGTTCCTATAGGGAATGCCAGCACAGCAGACAGCGGCTTTACGTGCCACAGCACCAGCCCCTCAACTTCTACTCTCCACAGGGCAATCAACTACACTGCTCATCCAAAGCCCCTCCCCTTCTCCACGCTCACCTGCATCTCTTCACTGCCCCAACTCCCAAGCTTTCCCACCTCGGCACCTTTGCACTGGCAGTTTCCGCTGCGGCTTTCTCTAGGCTCTTCAAATGGCAGGTTCCTTTTCAGTTTAAATTTCACTTCCTCAGACCACACTTGCCAGAAGAAAACCACCTGTTTTCTAAGTGCTCTGCTTATTTCCTGTTTTATTTGTGTAAAAAGGCTTACTTTGTTTTATCCTCAATCTTTCCTGCTTGCGTATCAACTCCCTTAGGGTAAGACCTTTGTACATCCCCACGTGCCTGATACATACTCACAGCTCAAGAATTAACTTGTAGAATTGGCTGAGCTGGCTGTGACGTTGGGTCCTCCATCAGAATATCAGTTCCTGTGGCCACTGCTCTGTTCTGGATCCAGCTCCCTGCCAATGTGCCTGAAGGCAGAAGAAGAGGGTCCAAGGGCCCATACCTTCTAGAAACACGTGAGAGACCCAGCCAAGATCCTGGTTTGGCCTGGACAAGTCTTGTCTTGTGACCATTTAAGGCAGTGAATGAATGGACAGAAGATCTCGGTCACTCTTCCTTTCAAGTATGTGTGTATGTATTAAAGAATTACCACCTTTGACATGGATGATCAGTGGCAGGCGGAGATTGTGGGCTGGTGGCATGGAGCGCCTACCTGGGTCCAGTAACTCGGGACAACAAAAGACCCATATCCTTGGGGCATCTTGGCAAGGCTGCTTCCCTTCATTGCCATCTTTCTTCAGTGCTTTATCCAGGAATGGCTCAGGGCCCACCCAGGACACTGAGGACTCTGGGCTGTCCACCCTAGACAGCCCCTGGTTTCCCCTGCTGAGCACACAGAAGGACCATCAATGCCCCAGAGCAAGACCCTTCCTCCAGTCCCTAAGAGAAAAAAAAAGTCCTAACGCTTGGGCCACATTCCCTGTCAAGAAAATATGAATCTAAAGATTTGACAGGAGATTCTAACATGCAGCCAGTTAGAGACCCGGTACCCAGACCTCATGCACACATGGCTGAACAAGCACGAGGCATGGATTTGTGGCTAGACAAGTTGGATTTTATGAGAAAATCACCATAACTGCAAAAGCAATGGGAATACCTGGAAAGGGCTCAAACCAAGCCCATCTCATAATCCTCTCCGAGAAGGGGTTCAGAATCAGTAAACCAAAGGCTCAGATGCAAATGATGAGACAGGGGGACCATCCCGTGCCCCAAGGCCACAGAGAGATGGGATTCCAGTTTCGTGGGAGGTGGAACCCCAAGAGAGGCAGCTGTGAAGGGGTGTCTGCTGGACACCAGTTTGTGGGTTCGCCCTGCTCCCTTCCTCAGCTCTGGGAAGAGCAGGATGCTGGGAAGCTGGTTCGGGAGAACACTGGAGGAACCTGAGTTGGAGCTTGCAGAGGGTATAGCCTCCTCACTTGTGGCGTTTGGAGGGAAACTCCCGGCGGCCCTTGCCCATGCTGCCGAAGTTGCGCACCCGGTGGATGAGCTGCAGCTGCTGCTCGATGGTGGCGGTGATGTTCACGTCATCGGGGATGTGTACGTAGCGCACGTTCCGGCCTGTCACGAACAGGTCATCCAGCAGCACCTGATGACCCCACCGGTCCGTGTAGGTGACTTTGGCCAGGCGGATGTTCATGAAAGCATCCACATTGTCTATGCGTCCATGGGCCACGCTCTCGTCCCGCAGGTCCACCGTGGTCACCCGGCCCTGGAGGCCTTGCAACAGGATGATGAGGCTGTTCTCAGATATGGTCCGCTCCTTCACTGAGTGGCTCAGCGCCATGGTTCCAGGTCAGCAGCTGGTGGCTCCTTGGGGCTGGAACACACACACACCCACACACTGACACACACAGAAGCTGTAGCAGGTTACGGGGTTCCACTGCAGGATCACCTCCACTGTGTCCTCAACCCAAGTTCCAGCATTAACCTTCTCAATTGAGGCTGTCAGTGGATACACAGCAATTCATGTATGCCTCTCACAGACTCCTCACATCGCCCTCTTCCCCAAGCCAAGGACTACTTTTGTCTACTTTATGAACGAGGAAGACGTGATCAGCTGGAATGGAAATGGAGCAGTTGGAACACAAACTGGTGCTCACATGGAGACCAGTGCTAGCAGGTGGAGAATTAGATGGTTGAGCCACACAGCACAAGTTCTGTCCTGTCTTTCACACCCCAGAGACTGGTTTACTGGGTCTGGGAGATGGAGCCCAGGCTCCTAGTTGCTCCAAGCACCCTAGGTAATTTCACTGTGCTGACTAGTTGAAGAAACATGGCTCTAAATCGTGGTTTACACCCTTGCTACTCGGAGCGTGATTCTGTGGCTTAAGCCGGATCATCACCTGGGCCCTTATTAAGAAATGCATCCAGCTGGGGTTGGTGCAGTGGTGTGGTAGGCTAGTCCTCCACCTGCAGCACTGGCATCCCATCTGGCTGAGTCTCAACTACTCCACCCTTGATCTAGCTCCCTGTTTATGTCCTGGGAAAGCAGCAGAGGATGGCTTATGTTCTTGGGTCCCTGCACCTGTGTGGGAGACCCAGAAGATCTTGGCTCCTAGATTTGGATTTGGCCAACTCTGGCTGTTGTGATTATCTGGGGGAGTGAACTACAGCATAGAAGAGCTTTCTCTCTGTCTTTCCTTCTTTTGTAAATGTCTTTCAAAAATACTTAAGAAGGGGCCCGGCGCGGTGGCGCAAGTGGTTAAAGGTCCTCGCCTTGCACGCCCGGGATCCCATATGGGCGCCGGTTCTAATCCCGGCAGCTCCGCTTCCCTTCCAGCTCCCTGCCTGTGGCCTGGGAAAGCAGTCGAGGACGGCCCAAAGCTTTGGGACCCTGCACCCGCGTGGGAGACCCGGAAGAGGCTCCTGGCTTCGGATCGGCATAGTATCGGCCCGTTGCGCTCACTTGGGGAGTGAATCATCGGACGGAAGATCTTCCTCTCTGTCTCTCCTCTCTGTATATCCGCCTTTCCAATAAAAAAATAATAAAAATAAATCTTTAAAAAAAAAATACTTAAGAAGAAATGCATCCATCTCTGGTCTTTTCCAGAGCACCTGAAACAACCTGTTTTAACAAGACCTCCCCCCATCAGCCTCCAAATTAGATGCATGTTAAAGCTGGAGAGTCACTCAGTGGTTGGCTTAGGCAACTCTCAGTACGCACTGTGCACCATCTTCAGATGGGGGGGTCTCTGTGAGAGCACTCCCCATTCCCAATTCAGCAGGTCAGAGGTGCTGCCCTGGGGATGCTAGGCCGGGGTCCAGTGGCCCTGGATGTAGACATTCTGGGAACTGGGAAAAGGTACTGCAGGAAGTACAGACGATCTGATTGGAGGCACCCTTCCACATGCAAAGCTAAGTCTAGGACAGCTGGCTTTTCGGAGCCTGCTTCCACATTAAGCTACAGGCTAGATGAAGGTACTCACACACTCACTGTCTAGTCCATACTTTGCTCTTGATATGGTATCAATGCTACTATGTCCTATTTACGCTTTATTTCCAGAGCCTTGAGTCAAAAGTAGTAGAACTACTGTCTCCTGAGCCACGCCACTCAGCATTTCCGCCAAGATTGTGCAGAGTGGAAAGCCTGTCCGGCCAGCCCGCTGCACTGAGGGAGGGACAGGTCTAGTGATCCCAACTTGCGCTCGCCCGGAGGCTCGGTGATCAATTCTGCACCATTGGGATAGCCACAGGCCCGTCCTCCAGCCCTTGAGTCGGGGCGGAATCCCGAGGCAGCCGCTGAGCATCGCCAAGCTTGTCAGCCCATCGACAAAGCAGGGATGAGAAGGCTTCTTGGCTCCCAGAGCAGTAAGGGTGAAGCCACACTTTGTAGTCGGTTAAGTGTGGAAGAAGACTTGGGCCAGGCTCCCACGCCGGCCTAGGGGCTCAGAGTACCCCCTCCCCGCTCCTCCCCAGCACAACCACGACCCGGACCCACCGCGCCGGACTCCTTCCGCCTTCCGTCTTCCGGGTCCCGGTGGGTTAGCGGGTGCAGGCCTGTGCATCCTCCCGGCAGCTGTCGCGGACCCGAGCAGCCATGGCAACCGCGAAGCCGCGCCGAGCCCCGAGAGCTGAGAACGCGTGCGTCCGTGCGTAACGTCAGCGCCGCGCGATGAGCCGGAACTACAGCCCCCAGAATGCCGCGCGGGGGCCGGGCGGCGCTTCCGTACCCAGTGCCCGCGTCATAGGATTCCCTCCTTTAAACTCCATGTGTGCGTGCGTAGGTGCATTCATTCATTCACCGTTCGTCCGTCCATTCATGCGGAGGTCACCTGGAGTCCTGCACATTCCCTGGCTCTGGGCATAGAGGGCGACCAAGTTTCAAGGATGCCTCCCGGAGCCGACTACTCTGCGGGGGGCGGGGCGGGAGGGAATTGATACTTAGACAAAATTTCATTTGTTTTTATTTGAAAAGTAGAGTGACAGAAACAGAAATCTCCCATTCACTGGTTCATTTAAAGTCACAATGAATAGCTTTGTCAAAGTAGCTCCCCTCCCAGACCCAATTTTTCTCATTAGGAAAGAGGTAATGTCCACCTGTGAGAATTTGACGTGGGATCCGAGTGACCATCCTGAATGTGTACAAACACGTGGCTCACGGAACGCTTCACTCACTTGTTCATTCGCTGACTTCTGTCTCTTCCCAGAGTCATCTCTCCTCCTTCTCCTTCTTTACAACTGCAGAGTCAGGCAGGAGGGAAGGAAAAGAGAGCTTCCATCTGCCAGTTTACTCCCCAGATGGCTACAATAGCTACTCAGCGCAAAGCCAGAAGCCAGGAGCTTCATCTGCACCTCCCGCATGGGTGCAGGGGCCCAAACACTTGGACCATCCTCTGCTGCTTTTTTGAGACTAATAGCAGGGAGAGGAAGTGGAGCGGCCAGATGTGAATTGGTGCCCATATGAGATGCCAGCATCGCCAGTGGCAGCTTTACCCACTGTGCTACATCGCTAGCTCCAAGTCTTTTCTTCTTAACCAGTGATCATAGTCAATTTCATCCCATCCTAAAAGCAAGTCAGCTTTCTCCTCCGTGTCATCTCCATTGATTTTTTGCCTTCCATAGTCAAACTCCACATGAGAGGCCTCTATGCCAGCTGTTTCCCAAATATGATCACTTTTCCAGCATCTGTGTGAGGAAGCCAGTGAAATGGCATAGGAGCTACCAGCTACAACACCTTCACCCCATATGGGTGCTGGTTTGTATCCTAGTGCTCCACTTCCCATCCAGTTCCCTAATGGTCTGGAAAAGCAGTGGAACATGGCCCAAGTGCTTGGACTCCTGCCACGTACACGGAGAAATAGATGAAGCTTCTAGCTTCAGTCTGGCCCAAGCTTGGCAGTGATAGCCTCTGGGGAGTGAACCACAGCATGGGCACTAACTCTCTCTGTCTCTCCCCCACGCTCTCTTTGTAACTCTTAAATAAATAAATAAATCTGAAAAAAAAAATTAGAGAGAGAGAAGAGTTCTGGAGGCTGTTTTGCTGTGGCTCAACCTGTGAATTCTCTATGCTCTGGTGCCAGCATTCCATATGGGCACTAGTTCACCCGGTTGCTCCACTTTCTATCCAGCTTCCTGAATGTGGCTTGGAAAAGCAGTGGAGGGTGATGCAAAGCCTTGGGACCTTGCACCCACATGGGAGACCTGAAGAGGCTCCTGGCTTCAGATTGGCTCAGTTGTGGCCATTGTGGCTGCTTAGGGAGTGGACCTTCTCTAACTTTCCTTCTCTCTGTAAATCTGCCTTGCAAATAAATAAATATTTTTAAAAGCTGTATAAAACTGGCTTTACTTCATGTAGTTCAGCCAAAAACAATATATTGCCATGGAAGATGGCACAGCTATTGCCAGAGACACCCATATCCCGTATCAGAGTATTGCGGAGTCTCGGCTTAACTTTCCTGCTTCAATGCCCGAGACTCAATAGGTGCTGGTTCCAGTCCTTGGTGCCACCTCACAGGATACCCAGACCTGGCTGCTGTACCCATCGGGGGGTGAACTAGTGGAAGGAAAATCTCTTGCCCTCTCTGCCTTATAGATGAATGAATGAATAAATAATTCTTCAACAAATCAGTCTGTCTCCTGTTATGACAAACCTTCAACAGACTTGCAGGAATAGAAAGCAGTGGCAGCTACTGCGCTTCAACCTGCTTCCTGCAGGCATCTGGGGAGTGAATCAGCAGATGGAAGATTTCTCTCTCAATCTCACTCTTGCTAAATTTTGTCTTTCAGAAAACAATTATTCAAATGTAGGTTTTATTAGGGGGCCAGTGTTATGGCACATCAGGTTAAGCTGCTGTGAGCATCCCACATGATCACTGGTTCGAGACCCAGTTGCTCCACTTCCAATCCAGCTCCCCACTAATGCACCTGGGACAGCGGTGGAGGATGGCCTTCGTACTTGGGCCCCTGTTCCTGCTGCGGGATACCAGGATAATGGAGTTGTGGCTTCTGGCTTTCTTCTGGTCCATCCCCAGAAGCTTTGATCATTTGGGTATGAACCAGTGGATGGAAGATTTCTCTCTTTCTCTCTGTAACTGCCTTTCAAGTAAATGAACAAATTATTTAAAAATAGGTTATATGAATATACTTATTATTTTAAATACATTAATATTAAGTGTTTAGTTTAATTTTAAGGTATATTTGTTTATTGGAAAGGTAAATTTACAGAGAGAATGAGAGACAGACAGAAAGGTCTTCTGCCTGCTAGTTTACTCCCTAAGTGGCAGCTGGAGCTAAGCCTATCCAAAGCCTCTTCCAGGTCTCCCACATGGGTGCAGAGTCCCAAGGCTTTGGGCCTTCCTTGACTGCTTTCCCGGGTTACAAGTAGAGAACTGGATGGTAACTGGAGCAGCTGGGACATGAACTAGTGTTTATATGGGAACCCAGCACTTAAAGGGGGAAGACTATCCAATTGAATCATCATGCAAGACTCTGTTTGGTTTAATTCTAATGTGATTAATATACAACTTACATAAAAAGCTTTTCAGTTTAAAAAATAGTTTATTTGAAAGAATTATAGAGAGAGCTAGAGCAAAAAAAAAAAAAAGAGAGAGAGAGAGAGAGAGAGAGATTTCTTCTATCTGCTGGTCTACTTCCTCAAATGGCTACAACTGCCAGGGCTGGGTCAGGCAAAGCCAGGTCTTCATGTGACTGTAAGATTCCCAAGCACTTGTGTCATCTGTTGCTTTCCCAGCTGCATTAGTAGAGAGCTGGATTGAAAATGGAGCAACAAGTGTGTGAATCGGTGGGGTGCCAATGTTGCGAGTGATGGCTGAATGAGCTGCACCACAGTGCTATCCCTGCTGTCATTTGTAAGAGCATAAGAGCGCTCTGAGATTGAAAACTGCTGCTGTGTATTAAGGGCTTCTACGTTCTCACTCCAGGGACTCAGCTGGCTCCTTACTCCCAAGACTCCACTGACTCTTTGGGCCAAGGGTTTCCTCACTTGTCAAGCCTCTCTCCTTTCTTAGTCCTTCCATCCGTGACCCTCCTCAGTGCTAAACCACACTGCCCATCCTGGTCCTGGTTGTTTCCTCTGGGACAGCGTGTCTTTTGTTTCTGATTTCTGATTGCTTCTCCATGTCTGTCTCTTTTTCTTGCACTTCATTCACCTGCTCTGTGACTGTATGTACCTCCTGTGGGTGCTGTATTTCCAGCTCTACTCCCTCCCTGAGCAGACCAATACGTTGCTGTCAAGGTCTCTGGCAGGTGTGTCTTACTGCTCTGAGACTCAATGGGTACTTTATAAGACAATCTCATCAAGCTTCTCCTGAACCAGTTGCTGCTCTGGATTCCTATTTCGGTGGTTGCTACTACTGTTTTCCAGCTGCCTAAGTTGACTACCTAAACAACCTTAATACCTTCTATCACCTCTGGATTCACCCTACATCTTTCATAGCCTGAACTCTTAAATTCTTCCAAGTGTGTTCCAGCCACCCACTTGCCTTTATTTAAAAACATTTATCTACTTGATTAGTTGATGTTTTTGGGAAGCAGACAGAGATAGGCATACATTTGCCATCTGCTAGTTTACTCCCTAAATGGCCACCATAGCTAGTACTGGCTCAAGTTAATGCCGGTAGCCAGGGACTCAACCTTGGTCTTTCCGTGCTTGGCAGGGACCCAGGTACTTGACCCATCATCTGTGTCTCTCCCAGTTCACATCAGCAGGAAGCTGGATTTGGAAGTAGAGCCAGGACTCAAACCCAGACACCCTGATGTGGGATGTGTGCTTCCTGAGTGGCAGCTTCCCTCTAGGCGACACGCCTCCCATTCCTACCTCCACCCTAGCTGAGTCTCTGTCGTTGAATTCCTTGTTGAGTAAACTACCTCACTGCTCACTGTGTCTATTACAGTCCAGTTACCCAGTGCATAATTGAAAGGGACGAAGAGGTAGGTAAAAGTTGTATTGGTTTCCAGATTTTAACTTGGGCCTTTAAGATTAGACGTTAGGCTAAATATATGTAATTTTCTAACATTTTCCTTCTCTTTTCTATGCTTTCCTATGGCTTAGGCTGGTGCCAAGAGGAGAGGGCTCTGTGCTGGCTGTAGCCCACAGTGACAAAGCGGATGGCCACAGAACAGACGGATGTGACCCAGGAGCATGGCCTGGTGTAGACCTGGTCATCATGTAGAAATGTGTTTCTCTCCTATTGGGATTTGGAGCTGAGAAAAACTGTTCCACACTTACATTGATGCTTGTCCTCTTAGAATTGAGGTGTCTGGGGGCTGGTGCAGTAGCCTAGTGGCTAAAGTCCTTGCCTTGCATGCGCCAGGGTCCCATAAGGGTGCTGGTTTGTGTCCCAGCCACCCTGCTTCCCATCCAGCTCCCTACTTGTGGCCTGGGAAAGAAAGCAGTCGAGGATGGCCCAAAGCTTTGGGACCCTGCACCCACGTGGAAGACCTGGAAGAAGCTCCTGGCTCATGGCTTCAGATTGGCTCAGCTCTGGCTGTTGCAGTCACTTAGGAGTAAATCAGTGGACAGAAGATCTTCCTCTGTCTCTCCTCCTCTCTGTGTACCTGATGTTCCAATAAAAATAAATATTAAAAAAAATTGAGGGTTGGTGCATGTCCTGTTTTTTTCTTTCTCCAACACTCTT